GGTGGTATAAAAGAAAGTTTTGCAGCAGGAAGTAGGAACGGCAACATTTTACGTCTCGTCTTGCTATCATTTTCTACCCAATTGAAGATCACTTGTAAAACTTCAAATTCATTATCAATGTTAATATTGTCACTCTCCAGCAGGTATTTCAATTGTTTGACGTCCAAGCTCAAAATTTCATTGCATTCTGCAACATCTTTGAAGTTCCTAAGGATGTAAGACTCTGCCTTGCCGCAAAGCTTAGCGCATGTGTGTTTCTCACCCAATTGCAAGATACCAATACAGTTACCAGGATCAAGTTGGTCTTGCAAGAAGCTGGAACAGGATTCCTTGGCATGGCTGAAACCCAAGAGATCGGCTGCAAGAAGCAGATCTTCCACATTGTTTTCAGTGACTGTAATTTCACCAGTGTAGCAAAAATCCAGAAGCAATTCCATTGATTCGCTGGTAACTTCTTTGATGTCCACCTAATACCAAACAAAAAACTGTGAATGGTATTTTACAGGTAAGATAAATATTTTTAGGCAGACAAATTTTGGGAAAAAACATGTACATAAATATTTTTTGTTTCTAATGACTGGTGTTATGCACTCGGGTGAAGATAAATGTTTGTGAAGTAGTCTTCTAGTGTGTCCGCACTGGGCAAGATGAAAAGTTTGCTTAACCACAGTGGGAATCAAACCCGCTGCCTTTGGTTTGCTAGTTCAATGCTCTACCAACTGAGCTACAAGGTCAAGTCGGTTTGAGTGGGTAAGATCGGTTCAAGTGGGCGACCAAAGGTTGTGGGTTCAAGTGGGTGACCAAAGGTTGAGTTGCGGCGCTCTCCCCTTGACAAGTAAAATCGTCTGGGTAAAGCATTTACTCATGAAGAATTTCCATTTCATACTTGACTCCAGTGGAAACCTCCTCCATAATACCTAACACCTAAACAATTCCATAGTAAAATTTGCTTACCCCTGAGGAATTTCTGGGCTAAACATCATCTTACCCCTGAGATCAAATTAGCCCAAGCTCCTTGACAGGGCGTTATCACAGAATACTACACAGAAGTCCATCTCCTTTGTTTTTTGCGTAAGCGCTATTCGTCATGATTCGTCACTCAGCAAGTACCGTAAACAGAAGCAGTCACCCCCCTGGACGTGTGCCATTTTGAGTATTTCCAGGGGGGGACTGCTTCTGTTTACGGTACTTACTGAGTGACGAATCATGACGAATAGAGCTTACGCAAAAAAACAAAGGAGATGGACTTCTGTGTAGTATTCTGTGGCGTTATAGTCTTGCCTCCCCCTCCTTGTGGATAGCATGAATTCAATTTAATCCCCCCTGTAAGAAGAGTTTGCTGCCATG